ATTTTCAACAAATTCCTCGTTCCTTTCTATTGACTCATTCAAAAATAATTTACTCTCAAGAAATTTTGAACTTGTAGAATAACGTCGATTTATCTCGATTCGTTTTCAAAAAAAAATCCCTATAATCCAGTTCAAAAATTACAATTGCTCATTTATATAACGAACGTGAAATCGCACGAGATAAATTTACAACGGATTTCCATCTTACACTTCCGACCATTTCCAACGCTTAATGTTGCAACATCACATTTATCAGCGAACTTTTCAATCCTTAAAGAGACGTATTACGATACAACGCGACCGCGTGAAGAATTACACGTGTTGAGATCGCGTGTTGGATTGAAACGGTGTTTAACGATGACGATGGTTTCGCAGATTTCTTCGCAAATTGCGGAAATGTCAAAAGACAGATGCAATTTAGACGCATTCACGCGTCCTCGCGTTTTATTTAAAACGAGATCTGTCCCACACGTTTATCTCGGTTTCACAGGAACGCCTGTTGCTCCCCAAGAATCACGTTCGTCCGTGTAATTTTTTAACACCGTAACACGGATCTTCGCCGGAAGCCGAGGATCGTTCCGCTATGAAATTCTTTTCACGTTTACGCCGCCGTTCACAACGCCGCTTTTTCTCCTTCACCGATCTTCGACAGCTGGCAACAGCTGTTGTGAAAGACATTCCTAAAAGAATACGAAGTTATATAGAGAGGAAACGTTGCTCCATTCTTTTTATCTTCTTGCGGATTGCCCGACGATCCACGCGGCTATATTAATTTTCCATCTCGACAGTTGTTTATGGAGACTGTGTTATCAAACGATTCAATCTTCGTAACATCATATCTCGTTCATTTCTGTATATTTTAATTGTTATATTATTATTGTTAAATTATTCGCGATATATAAATTTTATCCGTATTGTAAATAATTTGATATTATTAGTTATTGTACTTATGTGAACTTGTGTGTATTACAATATTGCGATGTTTTATCTATTCCTTTAAATATCGTAATATGTTCAGTTTGGAATATTTTATATCTTGTTGCATTATATGTAAATTCATTTACAGAATATTATTTCAATTTTTCGTCGATATAAAATTTTCTATATTTCCGTTTTATTTATTTTACATTTATTTTAATATTGATTATTGATATATATATATATATATACAAAGATTAATTTTTTCTCATTATTAATGATTTATTTGAATAACGTTAATAATTTAACTTTAAACATTTAAAATTCTTTTTTAATATAAAATTTAATAATTACATTAATTACTTTAACGTTATTTATTAAATTAAAATTCATTTATCAATTTTTCTATTTTTTTTAAATTTTTAAGAATCGATATTTAGAGAATTTTCGTAAACTTTCTATACATATATATATATATATATATTGTGAACTCTGATGCATGTACATGTGATACCAGGATCATTGCACACGTCCTTAATTTTCAGAAACCAAATCTGTGAAATCCTTTGATCCGTCAGTGATTCATGTGGGCACACGATAATTGCTATTGGCAAAAGAGCCCCAAGTGTTTCACATGTGATTAGAATTCGTACTTTTGACCACGTATCGACTATAAAGGATGCAATGGTATTAATTCCTCGCCAAATATGGTATTTTGTTCGTCCACAATCACAACTAATGGAATTTCTGCCGCGTGCCATTTCATTTTCACATTTTATTTTGTTATTTTATTTCCCCAAACAATTTCCAATATTAAATTCACATTATCATTCTCAGCTATTAATTTAATCTCTCTAGAGATCCCATTTTTCAAATATATAAAATTATAATATCTCTACATACGTTCATATACGATTCTCGAGTAATATATTGAATGAAATTATTCCGGATTATATTATAAAATGTACAATCTACACTCTTAATTCTTAAATTATATAATTTTATCAATTCCACACAGATAGAATATTCAACGAAACGATCTACACCACCCAAATAATTTCTCCAAAAGAATTCATAATCAACAATCCAATAAAATCCAGACCAAATATTCCGATCACCAGTCATATCTCATTTCAATCTCTCTCTTACATACTTATTTATCTATAACGTAACGTAACCAAACAATTCGATCTGATCAGAACGCGACAACGTTCATAAGCGAGCGATCATTCTTCGAGGAACCCTTCTCCTCCTCGTCCACGCGCCTCGTCCGTAAGTGCCGATAAACTAGTCGGTAATAAAGAAGCATTATAACGCCTCGCATAAACATGAATCAAGCGAATTGACCGAAGCGCACGCTCGCTCGATTCTCGCCGCCTCACCGGAAAGTATTACATCTCATAAACTGAGAGAACACTGTGTATGCAGGCTTACGGCCCCGCCGAGGAGACGGCTAGGCAAGCAGACCGGAGATTTAGTGAGATCTTAGGGTAAAGTGTGGATATTGAGGGTATATCACTCACGGGCTGCGGTTACGACACCCCTAGTTGCCCCTCTCTTGCCCGACCATACCCCAAGGTTACTTCGGCCCGGCCTCCTCTTGAGAAACATCAGCCAGGTACACACCTGCAGCAGAGCAACGGCAGGAGGGAGATGATTCTGGTCTCGTCCAAATAGGGAGCAGGGTTGGCCGGACCATTTGCTTGTGTCCGTGCCATTAGTAACGGAGGGTGCAGCAACATCTTCGCCGGTAATGCAAATCGGAAATCCGCCACTCAATTACACCGATGCGGTCCTAATCATGCGTGCGTCGAGGCACATGCTGCAATCAATGTCCCTTACGGCTCCTAATTCGGCGAATGATGAGAATTAGATGGAACTGCAGGGTCATTTCCAGCGAGGCCGGTTCGTTATGGCCAATATGCGGACAGACGATTCTTTATTTCGAATATTGGGAAGGGGGATGGAGGAACGATCGGAGATCGATTTGGGAAATTGCCATAGGTATTCTTTGTATCGTCAAGTGGATAATATTGGGTTTTTAATTTTTGTTTTTTGAGATTTTTAACGAATCGTTATGAATTAGTAATGAAAGATTAGTGAAATTGGAAATAAACGTCGTATTACGAAAAACGAATGGAAATTGGAAAAATAGATATGTGCATTTTACAGATGAAAATGCTAACAAATGATTTGTACCAATTTTCGTTCGCGAAATTTTATAATAATAAATTGAACGTGAAATTGCAGAATATATTATTACATGTATAAAATATTCTGGATCGAATATTGGAAATCATTTTTTTTTTAATTTAGATTGCAAACGTACAAAAATGGAACGATGAATTTTTGACCTTACTATTTCTAAAAATTCAATAATGAAGATCAATTTATTTTGATTATAAATGAGTTTGAAGCCGGGAATATTGAAAATAGAAATTGGATTATAATTATTAATTAATTTCCGGTGGATGTACCTATTATATTTAGTTTAATTTAACGTTTTTGAAAATGAATATTTTAATTAATAATTTTATGATTAAGATATCATTTTATCACGGAATTCCAGAATTTGTGTATTTTAGTAATTTATAAGAATCATGATCTATTTCCGAAATATCTAATTTTCGAATTTTTTTCTTTATCCCATAGATATTTACGATTAAGAGAATTTAATCTTTGAAAATTTATTAGCCGATCCTATTCTTCGTAAAAATTAAAAAGCAATAAATTTAAAATGTAATTCCCCTATAGAATTATATTGTGCATAAACGATAAAGAAAGTTGAAGTTTTTATTATCCTAACGAATTCATTTGCGAAGAATGACTGATGATTTAAAATCGTAATAACTGTGGACAGATGAAAGTCTTAATTAATATGAAGTACAAAATAATGAACTGGAAATTTATCCAATACAGATAATGTTTTATTAAACGGGAATATTTTCTGCAATCGTTTAAATGTTAATCTAAATATATGCGTAAAAACAAATTGAAAAGTTGAAGAATATAACAGGTATAAAATGTTTTACAGTTAATACCGTTAATGTAAATGCGTGTATCGAAATATATGTACGGATGTATCGGATACATCAATTCGAGAATTTAATTGAAATTTCGTGTCACTCTAATAATTTACACAGCGATGTATGAATGAAAATTTAAATATATGATTTTAATTCAGCCACATTAGCATAATCTTTTGTATAAATGTAATAATATACATTTAAAACATAAATAAATTTTATGATTTCGTTAGTAATTTGAATATTTCCTGAAACTTTTACTAAATTTAAAAGTTAAAGAATTATGGATCAATCGTTTTTAATATTTTCTTACGCGAGTAGAAGAATTAAAATTAAAATTACAGAAAATTTTGTTAAACGTATTTCTTTATGTATCGTAAGAAGTATTGAATTATACTTCTATAATTTCTTAATAAAATCTAAACGAATGAAAATTTTTTTTTCACGTTTATTAAAAATATTTGCAAGATGAAATTATTGTCACGAAATTACATTCGTAATAGACGGTTATTTCTCATCTTTTTGCTCGAACTGAACCGAAACGACAATACCCCTTTCATCTCATCCAACTTTCGTTGCGGTCGATTTTTTAATCGAAAATTCCATCAGTTCTACATCGCCGCAGAAAAATTTCCATTTTTTTCAAAATTTCTTCCCGCATTGACTGCAAACAAATAAATTTACCTCTAACCTCAATTTCCACCACCGAAATAACCATCGAACAAACTCGTTGCTTTTCGATGCACAATCAGTACCGTTGCAATTTTCGATTCTTCACGTTTCAACAAACATTTAATCAACTGTTTAACCCATTCAATCCACATTCTTTCTTTTTTTCTTTTTTTTTCACAATTATTTAAAGCATACTCGTGCCCCCAATTTTCTCATCCCTTTATAAAAATCATAGGACGTTTATCCGTCCAATTCATCGTGTTCTCTTATACCACGTTGTCGTATCGTCTCTATCCTTCCAAATAAAAAATAATCATTACGAAACGAGTGAAAATCTCCAACAATATACGCTCAATTTGAATTTTTCTTCTTCAATCTTTCCAGATATTTCCAACTGCTCAACGGCTCAACGATTAATTAACGACAGCTACGAATCGAGATACTCGATTATACTCGATGTACAGAACTCCAAAGGCGAATATATCACAAGATCAGAAGGACTGAAAGGAGACCTCCCACTATCTACGCTCGCCATTCGGAAACGCAGCTCCGTCTAAGCAATAATTACCAGGAAAATCAAGACGGATACGCTTGCCAGGTATATCCACCGGTATCCCAGTGGACCCGTCTTAATTATGGTAAGGCGAGCCGGACGGTAACGAATGCACGGATGAGATCCGCCAAGCGTTTATAGGCAAAGGTGGCGGTGGAACACTGTGCAAACTGCACACGAGGGGTACCCACTAATAGGAATTAGCACCAGTAGCACAATACACTCTCTGGCGCGATATAGGCCAGGATCAATCAAATCTCCAATACCGTGGCGAGCTCCTCGATGACTACGTTTACAAGGGAGACCGCGAGCTCATCAATCCGAGCCTGTTCCGAGCCGAGTCGATATTGGTTTCCTCGCTTGCATTGTTATCGTGCATCCATCCAGCCAACGTGCCACGACGTCTACGTCTACGGCAGGAGGACGAGGAGGACGTGTCGGCGGCCAAAGGTCTTGCACGGAGGAAGAGGAACCGGAACAGGGGACGTTGAAAGAGAATCTACGAAAAGATATTGAAGCTTGGTATCGCGATGCGAGGAAATATACCGAAAGTCTTATCAACCTTGTCCATCTCGAACGGTCCCGTTACTTCTGGTAGAGCGGAGGGACATTTATTTGAACGAAACTTTTGCTCGTGATCTTTTTAACCATCGATTTGATTTATCTGTGATGCGTAGTTTTTTTTTTTTTTTCTTTTTGGGGAGCTACAGATTATGGAGATAAAATTGTGAGATTAATTTTTTTTGGTTAAATGATTTCGGGGTGAAATATTTTAAAAAAGTATCTATCGTTGGATTTGTTCGAAGAGAATGTGTTTTGCGAATGACATGTAAATGTTAATGGATTTTGAGTGTGTATATTCGTTGAATTGGTTGAAGTAAATACTCGTCTTAAATTTAATTATAATAATTCATGTGATGTATTATGCTTCTCGTTAATGTTTGAAGCGTAATCAAATTTTATAGACGAGCGATTATTACCTTATGAAACTTAATTAATATAACAATTTTAGCAATTATATTTAATAGTATATATATGATTAAATTTATCGTTATTGTTATTATTAATTTATTATTATTTATTGTTAATTAAGTTTGGCCCCTATAGAGATATATTGTATCATCCATGTAAACGAATCATTACGTATGTTAAATTTTAATTAATTATCACACTTTATGAGTGTTCAGCAGATGTATAAACAAATATATAATGAATAATAACACGTGCATTTTAATTCTAAAATAAATTCCTGAACTTTCTAAAATCTCTATTTATTAGCAATGTACAACGAATGATAATTTTATTATTAGAATATATAATAAAACAAGAGATTTTCTTTTTCATATATTTAACATATATAATAATATCAAATATTATACGAGTTTAATTAATAAATTTGAGAATGGAAGGTGTTGGTTGGTCCCAAAAAATGGTTCTCACAACGCGCTCTTTCTAATCTTCTCCAGATGAATAGCCACCTTCGTTACGTTAGAAAAGTCGGCTAATTGAAACAGCTTGATTAATTAACGCGTAATTAATGAGTGGATGAATCTAATATGAAGGTTGCGGTGTAATCATCTGGAAATTTATCATGCACAAAAATAAGCAAACTTTCGGAAAAAATTTCTGCAGAGATTTTAATTTTTTTCTCTCACGCTGACCTCCTTAATTTTTCTTCTCCTTTTCCTTCTCCTCCTTTTTTTTTGTTCTCTTTGTTTATTTCTCCCGCCAGTGCGAACATGGCAAATTGTTTTACATTCGTGAACGCGCACGGCTACCAGACGCTTTATTTTCTCTCGTTTGAATATTTAAGAACGCAATAGCCGCCGCTTATTCCGAGCTATTCGCTTTCTCTAATCTCTCCTTAACAAGCTCATCAATGCGAAATAAATTCCCAAGTGTTCTAACGTGGTTGCTTTACTTCCGTTTCTACATAGATGTTTTAAAGCATTTATTATTCATCTTCGTATCGTATCGCTTAGAAATGCAAAGTAAAAAATTCGTATTATCCTTGCAATCGCAATATCCTTAACTCCCGAATAATCCATTTTGACTCATGCATTTACAAAACATACAATAAAACTATCCTGTTGATCGAAGATAATATTTAATTTCCTGTAAAATAACTTATACCTTCAATTAACTCGAAAAGCAAAAGCGTTTAATTTTAATTCTCCATCCGATTCACGCGAAAACTTCTCGCATTGAATATTATATCATTTAACTTCGCAACAATAATCAGGGAACGAATGTCGCGCGAAAAATTCGAGAATTCGAGGGGGCAGATGATGGCCCCTCGCGACTTCAACTTTGTCACGCATGACGGAGCAGCTGCCGGTCATACTTCCAAAGCTGACTCACAAACTTCGTCCATTTTTCAACCGGGTCCGGAATCGTATTCCCATTGTCCCGGACAATTTCGTGGACAATCTCGTATTCGACTCGTGACGCTGCAACATTAATAGAACCGCTGTGCTAACAGTGGTCCGCCCTGGCGGCGTTCGTGGCGGGTAGAAAGTCAGCCGGGCGACGGATTTTCGAGGGCCTTGGCCCGGTGTCGAGTGCGTTTATCTTGTTGAACCTACTCGTCGAAAGCTTTGCCAGGACAAATTAGCCGGGGGCTAGACTTTCGAGATTTCCGAAACTCGGTGGCGAGACACATGGGCCCATCCGTTTCGAAGAAAAACAGCCAACTTCGCTGTAACGGGACTTGTGCATGTTCTTCACGCGCCAGTTTTCCAGAATTAGGATAACGTGTCATTGAGAGAAGAGAATTATATTAAGATAATATTCATAAAAATCCTATTTCTCAGACTCTATACCCAACGTTTGTTCCCTTCTCCGTTTTTTTATCATTTACTCTTCTCCTTGCTTCGAAACGATTGATATTCCAAACAGTTGATTCAACGCAGAAAACAAATTAAATTATAACGCATCCGTCCATATCCGTTTTCGAATCAGATTCCTCCATTTTCCACTCTCCTTCCTCCCGGAATAAACAATGCCATCAAAGTCCCATTGCCGCGCATCTCTGCATAAAAGTCCGTCTATTTCGGTAGCGGAGATTCGAGTAAGTCTCGATGTTTCAATTTCGGCCGTAAATTTATCGCCTATATTACCGGATCCGCCGGTTTCTTCGAACCGCCGCCCATAGTTTCCAGACTTGACAGCGTGATGGTAGTACTTGGCACGGTCTTTTACATGGCCGATCCACAGATTCGTGTCGCGGCACATGTACACGAGCAGGGCGTATACATCATTCGGTGTTCGTTTGGCGTGTAAGAGGATTTTCGTGTACCCACTTGCCGGAAAGCGGAGCGTGTAAACTTTTTCGTCCTCCCCCTTCCCACAACGGGTGCAACGACGGTTTTTCCTCCACGAAAAGTCGAATCTCGAGTTCAATTCGATACGTTTTTCGCGCAGAGCTTGGCCCCGTATCGGCCATCTTTAATCCTGATTAAATCGTGGGCGGTAAAACCTAACCGGATATAAATTCGACGTTAGCCTTTGCCAAATACGAACTCGTATTACGTCGAATTTCTTCCCAGGTCAATCTTTCGCTCTGTCAAATCTATGCGCGATTTTTCGTATGAAGCTTCGTAATGAAAATCGCGTCGATTGTTTCTTGAACAATGTGGAAAAACGGGATCGAGATTTTTATTTTTATTTTGTGAATTGGAACGAACGAAAGTGGATTTAAAGGAGTGGAAAAATAATAGAAGAAAAAAATTTGTAGTTGAATTTGTCGTTAAAAAGGGGGAAGAAGCTCTCGATCAATCACGCAATTTAATTTTCGAAAGAGAGATTTATCGTATTCGCTGGTCAACTTGATTAATTCCCTTGATAGTTTATCGTTTTGAAAGTTGAAATAAATATAGGATATTGAAATGTAGAAGTTCGAAATCCTCAAGTTTAAGTAATAAAAAGGATAAAAACTTCTTGATCAACATGGAACTTAAATCCAATTTTCTTTCAAGTAAAATTTAATTCGAATAAAGTTCACCAAAAATGTAACCGGATGGCGATAACTTAAAGTTAAGAAGAAAGATCGATTTCGAAGAAAGTTGTCGTTCGAGAAACGAAAGGAACAAAATTTTCCTTAATATCAACGATGTTGCTTCAATCGAATGAATATTCCACGAAATTGTGTGTATTGTAAACAAGCTTTATAGATTCGCACCGATTGTGAGGTGCATATTTGTAAAATACATATGAAATTGGAAATTCGTTTCGCGATTAGAGGATTTTGAAAATGTATTTTTATCCTGGATATTTTCAATATTGCATATGTTATGCATATTCCACTTAAATGGCGTATAAACGAGTCCATTGTATATTTCATACATATTTAATGCATTTATTTCGTAAAATCTGCATTGTTCCGTGTATATTATATTTATCCTTGATAAATATTTGCCCGTTTCGGATAATCGTTCGGCAATTATGCACGCATGAAACGCCGATCGGTACAGTGAGAAGTAATGAATTGTTCGCGGTATGGAAGCGCTGCAATCCATGGACGAAATGTTTACAATTTCTTTTCAACTTGTTGCTGACGGTGTTTAAAAAAAAAAGAAAAATTGAACGTCACGTTTGATCTCGTATAATAAATTAATAGCCTTGTCCTTCTTCTTTTTTTAAACATTATTATAATATTATAATTCCAAATTCCAATTCTTTCAACTTCTTATGCAGTTATAATATCGCTCGCTTATTACAATTATTAATTCCAATCTTAGACAAGTAACAGACTCTTATTCTCTTCTGTTGTAACATCTCCAGTAGTGGATTAACTTCTGCCGCGTGAAAATGTATAATATTGCAGAAATTGGGCTACAAAGTACTTTTTCGATTAAAGTCTACTTCAAAGTCAAGAAGTTTCTTAAAGAAGACCGGGGAAGATTTAACGAGAGACTGAAAAAGAACCTTGGAAGGCTTAAACGAATTTTCAAAACTTTATTGCATTATATTTTATATAAGGGAATTGTGCTTCCTTATGGCAATAATGTGCAAAAATTAAAACAAATTTTAAACGACAACGATTTATTAATAGATTAAGATTAGAATGGAATATACCACTTGTTTGAACCGTCCTATTCTATTTTTTATCTGGCCACAACTTGTACATTTACTTGTCTGACCATGATCGATCTATACTTATTTAACGACGATTTATTTTATCCAACCATAAAAATTTTACTTACTTCGATAATCAGAATCTGATTACAATTGATAAATAGTATTTATCTGTATGACGATTATTTTTACTTGTCTGATCATAACTAACGTATTCCATTTATCCGGAGATGAATTATAAAACGATGTTTACAATTAAAATTACTTTTACATATTTAATAATTGAATCACATTAAAGATATGAAATTTTTCTTGATTAATAAACTAAGACACGACTATTTGTCAACAAATTCTCTGATCAATCTTCCCTGACAATACCAAATAATTATATCTCTCCTCGACAATAACGGAATACACGTTATACCCTACTCTCGACAAATTTCAAAGCTGTTTCATCAAGCACTAACGAATTTAATTCCGTGATACTGGAAATTACGGTCTATCCACCCTTATAAGAGACCTGATAATGAAACGAACGTTTGCGGGGCGTGCAGAACGACCATAAATAATAAACTAGAGAATATAATAGCGCGATCGTCGGAATTTCTCGAGCAT